ACACCGCCTTTGCCGCGATCGGTACACACTATGCAACCGGGAATGCACGGCAAATTGTTTTAATCGTTTTAACAGAGTGCTTTAGGTTGAAGTAACTCTTATTTTACAAACAACATATTTAGTAAACTGAACCATACAGCGGGTTGGTTTCACTAAATTTTTCTGGGTTAATTTAACCAATTAAAAAAAAAATAGTTATCTGGTTTAGTACCGTCAACCTAATCATTGTTTATATTAACCTTCCCATAGTTAATTTAAATAAATACTTATGGGTCAACTTAATTAATATAGTTAAATGAACTATCCCTTTTTTCTGTGTAGGTGCACTTCTCAAATATTTTTAGATAAACACCGTTTTGGTGTTTGCTGTATATAACGTTTTCAACCATAATTCATGGTGTTTATATTAACACCACTTGGTGTTGGATTTTGACACCATTTTAAGATTACTCTGTACACCACAGATATTTTAAACAGTGTGTTATTATTATTGGGTTTGCATTGGCCCACAAAATACCCTGTATATTTTCTGACAAAAATAAATATAGTTTAATATGTTAGGTATAATAAAATTTAATTTTTTAAAAATAAACAGTTAAAATCTGTTGACAAGCAGATCTCTTTGCAATAAAGGCAAGTCGACAACAATTTTTTAGTAAAGTAAAAAGACTGAAGTTTCTTAAAATGTCATCAATTAAAACGCCATTCAGGTTTAGGCGTCGCGGCGGTAACTTCTTGCGACGCTATTTTCATTTAATTATTCTTTAAATTTCTCAAATTGTATCTTAGTTTATTAATTTGATAAAGATAGACGCCAGGAAAAGTTTACAGGAAACGGAGTGTAAGATTTAATTTTGTTGCTTTTGAACAAACTCTTTATTATTTAATTTTAACTTTATTAGTAATTAAGACAAAATTGTTTTATTAATGATCGCAATAGTATATTATGTATTAAGTACAAGTACAAAGGACTTAATATTATCTAAACATGATTTAAATTAAATATTTGTATAAAGCGACATCTATAAAACAATAGAGCAACCAACTTGGTAATCTGTATTATTTGAAATATTTAAATCGAAATGTATCCCTTGAAAATGGACTGTTTAATCCAATATAGAAGCAGTTTTTCACAGTGAAAGTAAAGAAAATGTTTTTGTCACTTCACGGTGAAGTCTTAACCCGAAATTAAGTTAAATCTAAAAAAAGTTTGCACGTTACTATAATGGTAAGATTTTTGTTTTTTGTTAAGAGCAGGGCTGTGTTTAAATTACAATAAAAAATATTTTTAAAAAGTGTACAGATCAGTGTGTGGTATAAATGTGTTCCTCATGGTTTAAACATTGTCACTTTAATGCGTTTTAATTTTAATTCTAAAAACAAACAGTAAAATGGCCAGTATCCAATTACTGGTTGGTAAAAAATGTAATTTTCTATTATTGGACATATGTCCAATATCATCCTCTATTTGTATCCCGGACATTTACCAGCCAATTCTTATGTAAAATTGTACCCTGAATGCGAAAAGACCGTCAAAAACTATAAAAATTAAGCAGTTTTTGAGATATAGTCAATTCCATATTATATGTAAAATTTATGATATTTTAAAAACTGTTTTACTTTTATAACTTTTGACGACATTTTCGGATTCAGCGAATAATATTTCATAGGAATTGACTGCTAAATGTCCTGGATACAAATTGCTGTTGACGAGAATTATTAGTGGCTGTTTTCGCTAGAGAGTAAGTAATATAGTGATTTCTTCGTCAAAGGACATCTTGCAGAATAACAGTGATTTAGTAGTGTATGATAGAGAACATAAAAAACGAATGGCAACAAAATTAATAAATTTGGAAAATACTTTTAACATACCACCCGAAATATATTAGATATATATATATATATATATATATATATATATAAATCATCCTGTTCCGGCCTAAACATTAAAAATGCTTCACAAACTGAATGATATTTGCAACAAACTATTTCAGAAGTCAGACCAAGGAATTAGTAGTTACCTTTAGAATCTAGAAAAGGGATGAGGAATCCGAGAAAGAAATATATGAATTATATGATATTTACAAAAACGAAATAAATAAAATGACCTAAAACAGCAATTTATCTTTAAAAAATATTTAACAATTTCTATTATTTAAGTTGTCATGTTTATATAAAAATTGTATATCCTATAACTATGGTCCTGTGTCCAATTACTATATAAAATGCCCAATTACTATACTTTTTTGCATGTTTTTATAAAACTATTATTAAAAATTCAAATATTCTTATTTTTAAGTAAACGTAAATAAAGCTTAAACAAACAAACTATCCTTTTTATATATTTATAAGAAAAAAACTAAAATCTTTAAAACGACGGCATATATAAATTTTAAATAAAAAAGTGTCCAATAACTATGTGGTTTACTCTACTAAGCTACTAAATTTACCACCTGTCCTTATATTATATCTTTTAAAATTTTTATGAGTTGACGAAGTCCTAATTTCCAGACATCCTTAAAATTATAAAAAAATATAAATAACTTAACTAAAATATAATCTAGATCAGGTTTAATGTTATTAAAATGCAAGATATCGCATTTTTGAAGCAGAAAACAATTTTACTTAGGCACAATATAACTCAGCACTCTTTTATCTTTCTCAGTAAATAACAAAAGGGCTTTAAGTATTCTCAAAATTCTTTGTGTATAGTAAAATTCATATGACAATGGACGACGACGACGACTAAATGCAGTAGACAGTCCGTTTTGCCTTTGTTTGTTAGGGAACATTCGTAGGATATGAATTATGCACTTTACGTCCATCAAAGAATGGAGCAAACTTTCGATATTTGTGCTTATACGTTTTCGCTTTGACGGACCGAACGCTTTAAAACTGCAACTTTACTCTATCCACATATAATATGCACAAATATTAAATGTTGGGTTTAGATTTTCATAAGTAAAGATCGATTTATATAGGAAAATGCCTCGGAGATTTACATGAACTATTTATTTTTTATTGTAATAAAACAAATATATTTTACTTAAATTAGAAATATTCCCCAACACCAAAACAAAACACAAAGTGCTTTTAGCCAACGATGTGGGCATCTTCAGAAGATAAGTGAAACTAAATCTTGAAATCGAGATCTAGCAAACTTGGTTCCCTAACTTCCTTTATAAGGTGTGATATAATCCATAACTTACGTTCATATTTAAAGTTGTATTCTATATATTTATTACTATTACAAGCAGAATTCACAAATTTAAAGGAAAACGCTAACGGTTTATTCGAATTTGAAGTCATTGTAAAATTCCTTGGTTCATTGGAACCAGACGCTCCCATATCGGTACAGCTGCTGATAGTGCTGGAAGACGCCGACGCATTAGAACCTTGTATTTTTTCTGCAATTTGTATTTTGTTATGCACCGATTCTTCTAGGTATCCTTCTGCTACCGTCGAGGACTTCCATCCTCCGTGACGCTTCAAAGTAGTCATGTTAGCCCCTGCATTGGCCAAAAGAGTCGCCGAAGACCTTCTCAGGTTTCTCCAATTTTAAAAACATTGCAATTCTTTAAGGTATCTCGACAACGTATTTACATACTGGCTTGTACACCTCCCATTTTTTTAAAAAACAAAAAAGCGACTAAAACTAGTATTCTTTGGTCTCAAAGACATGTAATTTTTACACAAATTGATCGGGTTGACTGGAAATCCTTCTTCAAGTATGGTGAAACTTCTTAATTTCTTGGTTTTAGTGTCTGGCAAAACTACTTGAAAATATTTCCCTTTGTCTTGAATATTTTCTATTTTCAAATTGACCAATTCATCGCATCTACAAGCACCGCTAATCCCCATTATCAAAGCCACTTTCATCAACAGGTACTCGTCGTCGGGAGCTTCGTTCAAAAACTTCTCTAGTTCAGGTCGTTCTAATGTCTTGGACTTTTTTGGTTTGTATCCCTGTGATTTGCTTTTCAAAAAGCTCATTAGTTTGCCATATTTTGAAATGTCGTTTTTTTCTATTAAGGTGAATAATCGAGCGAAGCATCGAGTATTTGGTTCGTAGCAAGGATGGGGCAAATTTTTTTTGGAAATGTAAAAAATAAGCCAATAGAACATTTTCATCGATACCATTTATCTTTCGTGAATTCATCCAAGACTCAAACATTTTGAACTCCTTGTCGTAAGCATCTCGGGACTTTTCTGGCAAAATCTGCATCGCTGCTTCTTCCGCTTCCCTAAGGATATCCTCAGGAACGTAATTTTCATTGGTTTCCTCCATTTTCTATAGGTTTTTTCTTCTAAAAAGATTCCCTTTTCTGCAAAATGTAAAAAAGTCACTGACAAGTCATTCTGATATTTATAGGGTACTGAGACGCAAGTAGCAAGTAGCATTTGATCACAAAGCTTATTATCTCATAAAAAACGATTTCTTCCACTTCGTCACCTGAGAATTATAGTGTTTTATCTACATTTTCTTTTTTTTATTCAGGTTAGTCTTGTTTTAAGTCTTAAAGATGATATTGATCTATCTATATATAATTGGGGTAGAAATTGTAAAGTTTAAGGCTTAAACTGTACAATTTCTACCCCAATTATATATAGATAGAACAATATGCATCTTTAATACTTAAAACAAGACTAACCTGAATAAAAAAAGAAAATGCAGATAGAACACTATAATTCTCAGGTGACGACTTGTTGGATAAAACATTGTATGCCACTCGTGTGTTATGTTTCCTTATTTTCAAAATAACACACTAGTCAAAGACAATAATACAACTTGACTTGCAGTCATCTCGACTTGGTAGATGCTGTATAGTATATTATTAGATCAACTAAGGCTGCAAAACTTATAAAGCATACTAAAATGCTGACATTTCCACCTTTATCAAGATCTGATACGGTCTTGGATTATAAAAGCCATCTTTCACATGGCAATAACTTTTACACTCGTCAAAATCTGCCTTTCAAACTAAATAATAAAAACATCTTGATGACAAACATATATTTGCAAAAATTCACTTTCTATTTTTAAGTTTCTTTCTAAGAAGATAACTGATCCTGTTCATTAGGGCCTGCTTAATGTCAGGACATTTGGATACAATCATGAGAAGTAAAGACACGTCGTTTATGTTCAATGAAGCCAATATACTTTGGGCGTCCCTTCCAAGCATATATTTTTCGTCTGCCGATAGCTCCGTCTCAATTATATACTTGGCTGGTTTAAATTGCGGCAAACTGTAACCACATATCAGGACAGTTGAAATGACAGCACCTGGAATTGATTGATATAGGGTCCAAATTCACCAGTTTATTACTAATTACCCATCAACAGTCCATTTTGGCGAAAGTAAAGTCCACAAATACAAGTGACAACAGTTACTATTACGGACCCCACCATGGTGTCCTTGAATACCTCGTCGGTTTTATGGTTGACTAAAACAGAATATAAATAATATTTCAATGGGATATTTTACCGAAGCAGTTACGAAAGAGTAGAGAGGCTATGAAGCCCAAAAAAGCCCCAGATAAAAATCCAAGGGGGCCGTACAAAATACCCCCTGCAAATGTAAAAATACCGCTGAAGTATGCAAGTTTGGTGGACTCCTTGATAGGGGTTATCAAACGCTCTTGCTCCGCCAGAGCCAAACACAACTCTAGCGCGTTTTGTGTTTTTGGGGCCATTTTGAGGATATAATCATAATCAATTTAATTGAAAACTGGAATTTTTACTTCATTTTGACATGATAAATAAATCAAAATATTTGACATTTTCCAAGGCGTGTAGTCGACTGACCAAACTCTTCATATTCATTTATATTCCGGGAAACAGTTTAGAGAAAGTCGTCCTGTAATTATTTAAAGGGTTATTCTCGAAGGACCTTCTTTCTGTAGTTAATCCTTTATCAGATTTTCGTCAAGCTTCGTTATAAACTAGGATATTTAGTAAAACTTGTGAATTGGATTTGTAAGTTTTAAATTGGTTTAATTATTAATACATCCAGCTGGAAATCCTTAGGCAGGAGATTGCTTACAATGAAATAGTTTTAATGTACTTATGCTTTAAAACAGTGTTAAATTATTATGTGGGCAATTAATAGTATATTATGTATGAAGTTTGATAAGTTTGAAAAGTTTATAAACAAGGTACATACTATACTTTTTCTACGACAAATACTTATTATTATCTTAAAATGATATAAATCAAAAATTTGTATAGAGCGCCATCTATGAAACAATAGGGGAATCTGTGTGTCACCGTCAAGTGTCAAATTTTCATATTTTATAAACACAGATTATAAAGGTTATAAATCAAAATGTATTTCTTGAAATTGACAGTTTTTCACAGTGAAAGTAAAGAAAATGTTTTATGAGGACTTTACAGTGGAGTCCGTGCCCGAATTTAAGTTATAGTTTACTGCTGGCGAAATTAAAAGGTCAGTACAATGTTCATATAAACTTTTCAAATATTTGCGTTGAGAAACTATTTAATACTTTTGTATTTTTGTATTGAGATAATAAAATAATTTTCACATTTAGTATTATTTTACAAGAAAGGCACTTTATTTTAAAGATTGTATGACATTTGACAACTGTCAACTAACTTAAAACTAACTTCAGTCCGTGACTAAAAACCTGTTGCTAACTTCAGCCCGTGACTAAAGCGCCATAAAGACACAACTTGTCAATGTGTATTTAAAAGGTCACTTAGTGTCATGGAAACATTAACGATAAAGGGCGTTTTAAAGGTGGGAGTAGAAAATAGTATATTATGTATCAAATTTGATAAACGCAATTTTATACACGAATTTAATTTAGGCACGAGCGAGCTTGCGAGCGATTTCTTAAATTAATTAGTGTATAGAAAAGTTTATGAACGAGGTGCATACTATACTTTTTCTACGACAAATACTTATTATTATCTTAAAATTATATAAATCAAAAATTTGTATAGAGCGCCATCTATGAAACAATAGGGGAATCTGTGTGTCATCGTCAAATGTCAAATTTTCATATTTTATAAACACAGATTATAAAGGTTATAAATCGAAATGTATTTCTTGAAATTGACAGTTTTTCACAGTGAAAGTAAAGAAAATGTTTTATGAGCACTTTACAGTGGAGTCCGTGCCCGAATTTAAGTTGCCGGCGAAATTAAAATGTAGTACAATGTTCATATAAACTTTTCAAATATTGGCGTTGAGAAACTATTTAATACTTTTGTACGATTGTATGACATTTGACAATTGTCAACTAACTTAAAACTAACTTCAGCCTGTGACTTAAAACCTGTTGCTAACTTCAGCCCGTGACTAAAGCGCCATAAAGCCACAACTTGTCAAATCAAATTAACAGTGAGTTGGAAAATTTATTTTGTACTTTTTCTTGGACCAAAGAATTCGCCTTTTCTATAATCAGATTAGATGGATAATTAACTATTGTTTGGTGATTTCATTCATTTTCGGAAGGAAGGAAGAACTTCCTGCTGTTTGCGATTAATTTTTGCAAATGAAATTTTGTAAGCGGCTTAAATTTGTTCCCTTCATTCGCCCAATTATCGATAACAATGAACATAACCAAATCTTTTACATACTCTTTCTCAAACTTTCTTCTAATAGCTGCTTATTTTAATCTTATATCCTTTATTTAATCATTCGGGTGTATAATTACTTATTAATTTATAAATAAGTTAGGATTAAATAAAAAATTTAATCATTGTATTTTTACTAAACGGTTTGACAGTTTCTAATAAAAAGCATTTTAGATTTACAATCACGTGTTGTTCTTACATCTCGCCTCGGTTGACTTAGGTGGACAGTATATAAGCTCAGGTGTCTTTCGTTTTTGGTACACTGAAAGAACAGTTTATTTACAATTAATGATGTTGTTTAACAATAAATAAAGGATTTATTCGACAATGGCGGAATAAATATTTATTTTTTAAAAACAAATAATTTATTAGTAGTACTTATACTTTTTTGTGGTAAATAAATATTTATTTATTATAAACAAATACTTTATCTGTGAGAAATAATATTGCATTAAAAACAACCAAACCCTTATTTATTGGTAATTAATTAGATAATAATGTATTAAAAATCAACAAAGATATTTTTAAAAAACAAATTGTTATTTAAAGTGACAAACATCCTATTTATTATAAATAAACTAAATTGATTATAAATAACCCGGGACGTAATTATTAACATTAATATATTTAATTTTAATTTTTAGTTATTGTTTATAAATTTGTTTAATTATAATTAACAAATTTTATTATTAATAATTAATAATTAGCTATAACTGTATTTTTTAAAAATATGTTTATATTTGCAATAAATATGGCATATCCCTCACAAAGGGACGTATTTTCTTTATAATTTTACAACAGAGCATATACCTATAGGTATTGAAACTTACTGCAGGTTAAAAATATACTATATTATAAAATAAACTCATAAAATTATTATGGTTTATATCTGTAATTTTATATGTTAATCGAAGTATATTGTTAAACCGAATATTGCAGTAATTTTCAAAATGCTCTTCTGTAAAATTATAAAAATGGGTTTGTGAGATTGACGACTATATATATACATATATATATATATATATATACAGGGTGAGTCATAAGTGGTGAACTTCCCGAAAGGTGCATGTAGGGGGGCCTTAATATATGTAGGGAAAAATGTTTAAAAAAATCTATCTATGTATATATATAAATATATAAATCTATCTATGTATGTATATATATATATATATATATATATACAGGGTGAGTCATAAGTGGTGAACTTCCCGAAAGGTGCATGTAGGGGGGCCTTAATATATGTAGGGAAAAATGTTTAAAAAAATCTATCTGCTTTGGTACTCGAGTTATGGCCAAGAACTCAAAAGAGAATTTTGGCAATGTGTAAACACTAACAATGTTACAGGAAATTATTACATTTCATTTTAATTGAAGTAACCAAGGAACTTATTTGAATTGTTACGTGCTTATATTGTTGTCATTACTGTTATAATAAAAGACAGCAATGAGACAGTTGTTGTGATTATAATACTTAAATAATAATACCTAATTAAAACCAAAATCAAACAAAATAAAAATTTATGAAAAAAATACCACAAAGAAGCATGAACAAACATTACAAAAATTGCTCGAATTGATGCCCCTGATTTTCCAAACACAATTCCAGTCTTCTTCTTGTACTAACTTGTACATGGGTCAACATTTCTGGGGTCACAGTTGTTAAAGCATTTCGAATACGCAGTATTAGTTCCTCCTCATTATGTACCGGTGTTTGGTACACCAATGCTTTAACATGACTCCATAAGAAGTCAAGCGGGGTCAAATCTGGCGACCTAGGAGGCCAAGAAACTGGGCCGTTACGACCTATCCACCTGTTAGGTTACTGTTCATTTAGCCAATTTCTAACAGGAGCGGCAAAATGAGGTGGGGCACCATCCAGTTGTATCCACATGTTGCGCAATGTGGCCAAGGGTAAATTGTTAATTTCATTAGAAATTTCGTTTCCAAAATATTTAAAAAATGATCCCTATTCAACCGCCGCGGTAATATGATAGACCCAATAACCCAATTTTTAATTATCCCAACCCAAACATTTACACTGAAGCGATTTTGATGATTAAATTCCCATTTTCTATGTTGATTTTCTTGGTTGTAATAATGGCAGTTTCTACTATTGAAATACCCATCCCTACTAAAATTTGCCATAAAATACGAGTTAAAAAATCATCATCCTTATTAATTTTTCCCAATAACCAAAATACAAAAATTTAAACGCAAACCGAAATCGTTGTTGTTAAGAGCCTGAACTTTAGTGTAGTGGTATGGATGGAACTTCTCCTTCTTTAATCGCCTGGTTATAGATGTCTAGGACATGCCTAGCTCCTAAGCAATCCCTCTGGTACTTCTTGTTGGATCTTCTTGAATCAGCTGGATGATTAACTCATCGGCTTCGGGTACAATCTCTAGAGGCCGACCAAGGTCAGGACCTGCCGTGGGAATTAGAGATCCAGTCTCTCTAGCTCTGACCATCATCCATGTAAAAACTCCCGCCGATGGGTGGGTTATGTCAGCGAATCTTGCTGCGTATACCCGGCCTGCTTCATTGTAATTTTCTTCACAGAATCCAAGTACCAGCATAATATTCACATATTCTTGATTGGTGTACATTTTATTAAATAGACTCGACAAAATAATAACCAAAAAAATAAAATATAAACGTCAAACTTAATTTTCGCATTGTTGATTACAAATAGACTCGACAAAATAATAACCAGAAAACACCAAAAAATATAAACGTCAATGTCAATTTTCGTATTGTTGATTACAAAGTTGCCAGATCATTTCAATTGTTAAAAAATCATTCTAAAACATTAAAATTAAAAGAAAATACACTTTTTTGGGCAATTTTTTTGCTAGGAAATATTTAAGAACCCTAAACTCTTTAGTAAAAATCATATAAGGTGGAAAAATATTAAATAATAAAAAAGTTAAATTTAAAACTTAAGACCTGAATTCCTCGGTCACTTTTTCATTTGGAATTTTTTTAACATTTTTCCCTACCTATATTAAGGCCCCCCTACATGCACCTTTCGGGAAGTTCACCACTTATGACTCACCCTGTATATATATGTTGATATAAAATGTGCTTCAGTTTGGGTGATAATAA